TCAGAGTGTGAACACACGAGAGGTAGAACACTTCTAAATTACTATTGAAGAAAAATAAATAAAACACCTCAATGCCTTTAAGGAAGTATTCCTTGGTCTTTAATATTAAATCTTACCGAATACAAAACTTTAAAAATTGTCATTTTTCTTCAAGCAAAAACTAAATATATTTACTGAAAAATATGGAAATAGTGTGTTACAATACAATTTCTGTATGTATCAATTTGCATGTTAAAGTAGTTAAGTTTGATTCTATTAAACATTATTTTTTATTGTTTTTAAATTGAGACTTGCAGCGATAAATTTACTCTTTTTATGGGTATTTTATTTTTCTATTTTATAGAAATGGCAAGCTCATCCCAAGATTTGGACACAAGTAAAACCACTCTTTCCGTATCTGACAAACCTAATGTTTCCTCTCCAGCGGTGTCAATCCATGATGAAGAAGGTTTTCTGATGAAATGTCCCACGGGAGAGATAGTTAAAATCAACACTCCAGAAAAAATACATATCAAAAAGGCATCTGTGGTGTTGGAAAAGTTGGGAGAGGGAGATATTCCAAATAGTATTCATGCAGGTATAGAAAAATCTGATAAGAAAATTTCTCTTAACAACCATCCCCATTCTGAAAAATCTTTTCCATGTACAATAGAATACAAAATTAAGCACAACTATAGCGTAAATAAATCAACCAAAAACAGCTTAATCAGTCCTAGTAAACCAGCAAATATAAATGACCAGAAAAAGACAGCCAAAGGAATGTGTTCAGGTAAAGGAAGTGACGCAATGAAACCAACACCAGACACACAACAAAACCCCCATTTTATCAATGCTTTTTCGAATGAGAAAATTTCCCGAAAACTAAAAGCTACCTCTGGTCTAAATATGTCATCAGTGACCATTAAACATGAAGATAGTCTTCGCATCAGCAAATATATCTCAAGAGACAAATACAGAAGCTCTTCCTCGTTGGAAAATTATTCTTCCGATGAGAAAACAAACAAATCATTCATTACGGATATGGTGACGTCTCCGAGACTATCATTGGGTGCAAAAGTGGAAAATGATAAAGTATCAGACACGTCAACAGAAACCAGTCCCCACAAACAAAAGACGAAATTTATGCATACCAATCTCTCCTTGATAAAACTCTCAGATGCGAAACGTGATTTAGAAATACAAGACTACAAACCGGCTCTTCAGAGACTAGCAGTAGTGGGAACAACAAACAAATCGGAGGAAGAATCAGTTTCCCCTTTGAAAGAAGCCAGAGCTCAGTTCAGTACTAAGCTAAACAAAATCTCGAACGAATCTGCATCTGCTGAAATCCCTCCTCTAGATCAAAACATAATGCAAGTTAAAAAGTGTAAAGTTGCCCCCACCATCCTTTCTCATAATAAAAAAAAGTCAAGGCCTCCAACTGTTCGGGAACTTCTTCAAAAGAAAGAAGAAATGGAAATGAAAGAGAAACTTGACGGAGAATACAATTTCAACGATACTATGAATGAAGATAAGAAAGAGAAAAGATTGACACACGCAATTACACCCCAGAAAAGCATTCCTGGAAAGAGAACTTCTGTTCCTTTAAAGGTGGACCTAAAAGCTATGGATGATCATCATGCCAAGGACGGACAGCAAGAAACATCTCTACAGAAGAAAGAGAAATCTTTGACAAGAAGATATAAAAACACGCGCTACACCATACCCTATCGTGGTCCCTCAATTGTCGTTCCGAAAAATTATGACGCACTCATCAGAGCAACAAAATCGAAGCTTGAAAACCCAGCGGTGGAAATACCAGAAATATCAGAGGATAAAAGTAAATCAATGAGACAGAGATACAAAAAGACGGGGAAAATTACGACCACACCTCTTGTATCAAAAACTCCTGAGTCATTGATTGAGGTATCACCAGGTATCCATACCATGAAGGAAACCAAAGGTCTCCTTAATGTAAGTAGTATGCCAGCTCTACATAGACCTATCTGTAACTCCTTTGAAGGCAAGATAACTTCATCCAGACCACAATCTTTGTCACCAAATAAAAACTTGTCCACAGCATACGACAAGCTCCCGGGACTGGGCCTAAGAAAGCAAAGTTCTGATGATGCAAGTTTGCAATTTTACTCAATCCATTCTACAGAAAGAGTTCGAGATCTTGTGTGCGAGCAAAATTACTTGAATACCGTTATGACGATGTCAGAGTATGAATCATTCAAAAATTACCAAATGTCGCCTCTTAAAACCATGCATCAGAAGGGGGGTTTCACAAAGAACAAAGCTGAAAAGACACCAAGCCCCGAGATTTCCCGTCCCTTTTTTAACAAACTTTCTTTAACAAGGAATGAATCAATGCCAAATAATAATGCACAAGATTCAAATGCAAGATCGGGTAAGTCGACGATTTGTCCAGTCCCTAGTAATTCGCCTTTCAGACAAAGTCCAGCGCCACCTGAGAAAGATTGTAGCGGATGCTTTTATTGTGAATACGAACGATTGATGAGGAGTATCGATAGTGATTCCAACAGTGAAAGTTCTCAACAAGAAAAATCCGACCACGATTATACAAGAACACTTTCCAACACAGCTGAAAAATCTAAAAACCTCATTCAAGAATTCAAACATTCGGTGGTAAATTTGAACTCACCCTTGCCAGTACACTTAGAAGAATCAATCATTACGCCAACAGAACTCGCAGGAAAAGTGCCTTTTTATGCTTTTCAGCTGGGCGATAAGATATTACTTATGCCTTATTCTGTAGCTAATTCTAAATCTCAAAGTTTGACAAAGAAAGGATCAAAACAAGAAACAAAGGAAAAGAAGAAAACTACAGATGTTAAAACTGAAGGAGGCGTCTGTAAGAAAAAACGCACCAGAAAAACTAGCGCTCCAAAAAGGAACAACTTCAAAAACATTTGTAAAGATCAGCTGAAATTTACAAAGGTTCTGGATTTGATTCCAGTGAAAGAAAGAGCAATGCATCCTACTTCTTTCGAAATGGTAGTTGATGTTTTGCATGGAACTGGTAAAGGCAATGATTTACAAGTATACGCACCAATCCTTCAAATAGAACGCAACATTGATGGCGTTTATACGCACATTTCTACCGTTGCATGCCTCAGGATAAAGAATGGATCAGATGCAAAATTAAAGCGTTGGAACGACTTCGATGATTATCCTGTACTATTGGCAACGGATACCGTGTCTGGAGCTATAACTGAAATTGAAGTTGACACTTACCTTCAAGGTCTGTATAAAGTAATAAAAACAGGTCAGCAATCCGATACCAATGGTACTTTTAAATCAATAGCTATTCTGTCCGCTGTATTACCAAATGTTATGACCATATTAAATGATTCTATGTTTTTGGCAATTGGACCTACCAGTGGCTATCGTAAAAACTACTGCACAGAACAACCTGCAAAAATCCAGAAGTATAAAAATGTACAGTATCTGTTGACCTCCATTGAGAATCTCATTAATCAGCCTGTAGAAGAATCAGTTGTAAGTGATCAGAGTTACAGACCAAAGTGCCATTCTCCTAGCTGGTATCAGGGGCACGGATTCGATGCCTTCACACGCCTCTATCACCGTCAAAGGAAATTCAAGACAACGGGTGCGAAAACATCAGAGTACGATTTCTTTATCCCTAGTTGAAGAACCCATATAATATTATATGAACAAGTCAAGTGAAATTTTCATACTGTAGTTACATTTTTTATATACATCTTTTATACAAAGATGGATTTGAACATTAATATATATTTATTCCAGTTAGACAAATATTTGTCTCTTATTTATGTATTTAATTATTGTCATGTAGATTTTGCAGTTAGTTATATTTTTAAAGTTTAAAGACCTAAAAGACAGGAATACATTTTGATAAAGAATACGTACAAGACTGTAATTAACGCTAAATCACAACTTAATTTATGAACCTTTAATGTATCTACGTACCCCAATTCCCAATTACTATGTACATGACTGCTACTACATGTATTATCATTAAAGGAAATTCAAGAACATGATGTGGACGTTAATTAAAAACCACACACTGAATCCTCCCGACATTTAGACAGACTTACGAAACTATACCTGTATATTAGTTTTAATGTGACAATTAACATAATTTATAATGAACTATAAAACATTGAGACCAACCATTTTGTTCATTTACCAGTATGTTAACATTTGATTAAAATGCTCTGTTTTACTCCTTTTTGTGTGTGTGTGTGCATTTCTTGACATTTAATATGTAATATAATTATTAAAGTTTACCTACTGCATAATTTTTTTGTACTTCAAATAAAATATGTCGCATTAAATATATGTATAACGTCAATACTTTAATTTTTTTGTTAATACATAACGCATGGGATGACATAATGAATTATCCGTTTTGAAAACAAGAAGAGATTAGAAAACGGAAGCTTCACATAACAAGTCGAAAGTTCGAGACTTCTAGATCTGTCATTAATTTGCCTTATTCAACTGCATATTTAGGGACATCTGTTTTTATCTGATTCTACACAAGGAGAAAACTGTTTCCTCTTCTTTGACTCGTCAGAAGGATTGCAGTGATAGTAATCGGATGCACTTCTTGAAGGTTTTGAGTGGAGACTAACTGATAATGTGCAGAACACTTCACTGTAGATTATTTAATGACCCTGATATAAACACGGGGAATGACGTACTTTTAACAATGCTGCCATAGAAACCATTTGATCTGATTTAAAAAGATATTTGAATTGAAGCTCAATTGTCAGGTGTCTTCCATTTAAGTTCCAAGGAGATCGAGAGCAGTCACGTAGCCAAATGGGTGAATAAAACATGATTTTACTTATATTTCATAAAACTAATAATTTTTCTCAAATATGACAATGATCTAAATGTTAATTCTTTGTTTTCATTTTATTGGATGATAGATTGTTTTTAATGCCAGTTTATTGAAATACTCTTTAACAAATCTTGCAAAGATACTTGTGGAATACATAATAGAAATGGGTGAAATTTCCAAGTGATCTATAATTACTAAAACTTTTGTTTGTTACCTGATTATATGTTGACAGCAGAGTTTAACAAAAGACAGTTTTGAAGTCGAATAGATAAATACAAGTTTGTCATCCAAAAAGCCGTCCAGGGATATTTTCTCTTTAAATTTGATGCTGCTTAATGGTCAGCTTAGAGGTTTAGAAATTTTTTTGCTTCTTTGAAAGAATTTGTTTAAAAAAGTGTTTAAATCAATTCATAGTCTTTAATGCCTGTGGACAATTGACACATATCTGTAGTGCAAAAGAAAAAAAAAGTTTAAAAAAAACGTGCAGACACAACCCCTATGACCGAGTTAATTGAAAAATAAAGATGTTGAATTTCAGACACAAATACACAGTGTCTTAGGAAAGTGAAATGTTTAATATTCTTTTAATTTTAGGTATGACAATATTTGTATTTGCCGTGGTCATATCTGTTATTTGTTTGGAGGAGATTGGTGGAGATATTCAAAACATGTCTGCTATAGAGAAAATGTTCATCAAACATATATTTCAAAAGTATGGAAACGAGTCAATGCTATCATTTGAAGGATTTGAACACCTTTACCAAAATTTAGAAATAGGTGATATTCAAATAACACACCCCTTAAATGAACATTTTCAACATGCAGACTTTGTATCATTGCATTCTGATCATAAGCATCAGCCGAAGAGGAATAGAATTTTGCGAAGAAAACATAAACATCGCAGGCATCAGGATATATTTTCTAAGGTAAGTTTGGACTATACATATCAGGTGATTTTTATGAATAAGCAAGTTATAAAGTTTCAGAGAAAATGAATATTTTCTCCTTTCTTTCTCTTGAAAATCTATCGCCTTTAATCAATCAATTAACTTTAAACTACTAGGATTTAGATCTGGGCCCCGTTTTACAAAAGAACTTACAACTAAGACTAATTTTTTCTCTTAGTTCTAAAATCTTATCAACTTCATAATTTTTTTCGATTATACTGATATAAAATATTACCGAATTTTTCTTAATCACATTATAATCACAATAATGTCAACATAAAAAATTAAATAAACTGTAATTACAAATTTGATCTTAGTCGTAAGTTTTTTTTTATATGAAACGAGGGCCTGGTTTTAGAAAGCCATCTGTATAAAAGAATGTTTAAGAAGTGGGCTCTTCCATCAATGCAACGCACCGATCAACAAAACAATATTTACATATTTTTACACACTTTATACAGATATAAATATAAACAATAAATTGTCTTTCTTTTATTTGTCATTATGAGAAGTAATAGTATAAACGATAAAATGTCTTTCTTTCTAAATATTGGGAATAACGGTTGCAACCATTGCAAAAAGCGCTATGTATTTTTCAGCATATTTGTTAAGCTTTAAAATACCGCATTAAAAAAGAAAGCATTAAAAAAAACAACAAAAAAACAAGATGTGTTTGTGAAACACTGATGCCCCCGTATGGCAGCTTATGATGAAGGTTAAAGTTTCTCAAATGCAAGTCAAACTCCAGGTCAAGAGATCAAAAATGTTGTTACCCAAAGAAAGGCCTTGTCTCAAGGAATATACCTGTGAAATTTGAAAGCCCTAGCACCAACTGTTCAAAAGTTATGGCGAAGATTAAAGTTTTTTAAAAGTAAGTAAAACGTCAAGGCCAAGGCCAAATGGGACCCCAAGGGAAGGTCTTGTCACAAGAGATACACATGTTCGTGAAATGTGAATGCCCTAGAACCAAACGTTCACATGTTATGGGCAGGATTAAAGTTTTTCAAAAGAAGGTCAACCTCCAAGGTCAAGGTCAATGCCAAAATTGCTGGTATCCAAAGGAAAGTCTAGTCACAAGGAATGCACATGTGAAAGGCCTAGCACCAAATGTTTAAAAGTTAAGGCCAAGGTTAATGTTTTTTAAAAGTGGGTCAAACTCCTAGGTCTAAGGGTCAAAGTTGTTGGTATCCAAAGAAAGGTCTTGTCACAAGGATTACATATGTAAAGGATGAAAGCCCTAGCACCAACCATTCAAAAGTTATGGCCAAGGTTAAAATTTTTGAAAAGAAAGTCAAACTTAGGTCAAGGTCAAAGAGTCAAAGTGGGTGGTATCCAAAGGAAGGTCTTGTCACAAAGATTACATTTGTTAAGTATGAAAGCCCTAATACCAGCCATTCAAAAGTTATGGGCAAGGTTAAAGTTTTTCAAAAGTAGGTCAAACTTCTAGGTCAAGGACAAAGGGTCAAAGTGGAAGGTCTTGTCACAAGGATTACATATGTGAAGTATGAAAGCCCTAGTACCAACCATTTAAAAGCTATAGCAAAGGTTAAAGTTTTTTTTAAAGTAGGTCAAACTCCTAGGTCAAGGTCAAAAGGTCAACGTTGTTGGTATCCAAAGGAAGGTCTTGTCACAAGGAATACACATGTGAAGCATGAAAGCATTAACTGTTCAAAGGTTTTCGCCAAGGTTAAAGTTTTTTCAAAAGTAGGTCAAACTTCAAGGTCAAGGTCAAAGGGTGTCAAAGTTGTTGGTATCTAAAGGAAGGTCTTGTCACAAGGAATACACAAGTGAAGTTTGAAAGCCAAGCACCAACTGTTCAAAAGTTATGGCCAAGGTTAAAGTCATAAACTTTTGCAAAATAGGTCAAATCCAAGGTAAAAAGGTCAAAGATGATGAAATCCAAAGAAAGGTCTTGTCACAAGGAATACACATGTGAAATATGAAAGTCATAGCTCCAACCAATCAAAAGTTATGGGCAAGGTTAAAGTTTTTGCGGACAAACAGACAAACAGACAGACAGACGGACGGACAGAGCAAAAACTATATACCCCCGACTCTTCGATACGAGGGCATAAAAAATCTAATTCACAAAGTGAATTTACTTTACACATTAACTTGAACATTTTTCAGACTAAGAATCAAACACGAGTGTAGAATGTTTCTTCATCTTTTGGTGTTCGACATAGAACTACACTGTATTATACACTGTACAAATATAGAATTGATGGAAATATATAATAATGTTAACACTATATGATATTGCTTACTTTTTTGCGTATATTACTCATTTAAATAGTATTTGAGAGTAATTGCTGATATTTGACGTAATAAAATTTTCTTTTGATAATTTTTTTTTAAAAACTGAACTCCACATTAATTTATTTTTAGATAGGGATGAAATGATATGTACTAAAAGGAACGATTAAAACATCAAGTGCCCTCGATTGCAACAAGTGTAGTACTTAAAACGCAGATATGAATAACAAGTGGTGACCTCGCAGTTGTCCAGTATCATCATTAACTGTATCAAATGACTGAAATGAAAGGCAAAAATGTAAATCAGTAGTGAGGTCTATTTAAAAAAAGGCATTTAAGTGTATTTTTAACACATGAGCATTGATAAACTACTAGTACTTTTAAATTAAACTGTCCATTATTTTCAAAGTGCCTTTTTCCTGTTGACATGATGAAACTTTTCGGGTTCAGTACTCTCGATGTCATTACTGCTGACCAATTTCATCACATGTGTCCTGTCATTATGGCCCAGGTGGATGGTGTCGCCTGTCCCCTTGCGCATGTGCAGCATCATAAGCTCTTGACAGATTCCCATGGAATGGAGGGACTTATCAAAATTCCACCAGAAGGTTAGAGCACTTCAATTTCTTTTGGCTTTTATTTAGGGTTAAAGTGTAGTCAGTGATAAAATTAGGGATAGAGTTAATTTTTTTAAAAAGAACTTCTACCATAAAATACTAGTATTGGATGTATTAGAACATCTGTATATTCCAATTATCTTGATACACTGCAAAAATAAATCTGTTAATTTACAAATTTAAAATGCGGAAGTAAAATTATTCTAAAAAAAAACCGGTTTTAATTCATATGGAAAAATATCTTTACTCTGACAAATATAACAATCATAAATCATAAATTGTCTACATGAATGGTTATTTAAAGCGTATTCGAGACCTCTCTATCCGGATATTTAATAACCTAGCGTTAAAATGAAACACGTGTCAACATCAATACGAGTCCATATTGTGTTAAACTACATTGGTATTGACTGTCCTAAGGGCAATTTGTTGAGATTTATTTATCATTAGTGCACGGCAAATGGAAGCAATGTATAGGCAATTAAAGTAATCTCTATTTTACAATGAACAATTCAAATTACTGTTGTCCCATATTGTAAAATAAAATTGACATATAGGACAAGAAATAGGTATAATTAGAAGTCAAATAATAAGATGGTTGATACACTAACAAAATTTTTGCAAGTCTCATTTTTTCACATATACTTTTCCAATATCTTTTATGTATTTTCTCTGAGTGAAACTACATAAAAATCAAACACAAACATTAGCGTCTACAGATATAATGATGACCGTAAACCAAAGAAAACTGTATACCTGTATTAACCTTATCACCAACATAATAAAAAACACTTCTAAAAATCATTATCATGTTGACCTTTAGTTTTTACAGCTAGCTTCTGTTGTGATTACCTCTCATATAAAATCATTTGATTTTTTCATTGGGACATTTTTAGAGCAAAGGAGCTTTACTAACAGATAACTTCTATTTTTACTTTTGCGGTATTTGACAAAAAAGAAAGAAACTTAGCTATACAACTTATAGCAATTACAGAAAACAGTAACTATCTGATTTTTTTCTTGGTACTGTGTAACTCACGTATGTCTTTTTAAAACACTTCTCTGAAGGTTTACAGATTTTTTATTCCAGCCTGGGGCTATGGATCCGCCTCTATCATTACTATCAGTTTACTAGGCCTCCTGGCTGTCTCCTTCATACCCTGCCTACAGAGAGTGTTTCTGAATACCGTCCTCCAGTTCTTGGTCTCCCTGGCAGTAGGGGCTCTCTCAGGGGACGCCATGCTTCATCTGATTCCACATGTAAATTTCCTCCAAGACAAAAAACTAGAATTAACAGTGAAACACATTTAAAGTGAATTCTGATTAAGCGAATTCGTGCTAACATCAATTGCTTGATCTTTTATTAAATAATGGAAAACAATGAATATTAACTGGATAAAACAAATAACATTGATAATGCTGTAATATCAGCCTACCCTGATCCTGTTTTAAAATATTTTATTTCAACTTAATATGTACATGAAGTAAGCTTTGATAACGATAGCAAACTTTCAAAGTTATTTAGTATTTTTTCACATTTATCTTCTGGTACAGGCCTTCACTGGTGAGAAAGAAGACAGTGATGAAGGACGTGGTGAGGTTTATAAAGGGTTGTGTGGATTAGCTGGCATCTACTGTTTCTTCATCATTGGTCGCCTACAGGGCATCTACATGAACAGAAAGATCAAGGTACTTAAGTATGAAAAAAGTGAAGATAACGAACAGTGATCGATCTCAAAAAAAATCTACAAACAATACAAATCTGTGAACAGGGCATAAAACACGGACCTCTGGACATTCCAGGGGTGGGATCAGGTCCCTAGGAGGAGTAAGCATCCCTTGTCGACTGTGATTACGAGGTATACAAGTATCTTTAGATTGGATGTCAAATACCTATTGATGAAATAATGATCAAAGTATATATAGTGTATTTCTAAGAGGGTTAGATTCATTCACAATAATTTGACATGATAAATAAGATTGATACCTAATCAAGAAATCCTTCAACACATACACATACATGTTTAATTAAATCTACAGCATTATTTCTATTATTAAAGGAGCAAGATAGAGACAGCAAAGAAAACTATTTAGACATTACATTGAATATTATTTCAAAGGGTAAGTTACTTCTATGTATGTATCTCAACATTGTTTGGCGTCAAATTCATATAAAAAGTATTTTAGACAAAAGATCTGAAATATTAATTTGAATGAACAGATGAAGAGACATCAGAAAGCGTCGACCTAAAACCCGTGGACGACAAAGACACCACCGGACAAAAGCAGATAAAAATGGATGAACACAGCCATTTACATGAACACAAACATTCACATGAACAGGAACATTCACATGAATATGAACATTCTAAAGGTCATGGTCATTCGCATGACCAGCCTGTTCCTCAGGATATGGGAGGGCTAGTGTGGCGGGTCATTATTGGAGATGGTATTCATAACTTCAGTGATGGAATAGCGGTGGGTGTAGCATTTGCTACCAGTATCACAGGCGGGCTAAGCACATCAGTCGCCATTCTTTGTCACGAGCTACCTCATGAAATGGGTACGTATTTAAAATATGTTTTAAACAAATATATTTTTGAAAAATGCCTTTTAGAAACTATTCCAAAATGTCTTTCTTGCTACAATAATGTTTATATTCTCTAATCAAGTCACTCACTACTCTAGGATACAAGTAATTTTAATCTGATGTTTAAAGCATATTCTCTGTCCGTTTATTCAGGTGATTTTGCGGTTCTTCTGAAGAACGGAATGACGATTAAGAAGGCTGTCCTGTGTAACTGTCTGTCTTCGTTGTTGTCATTTATTGGTATGGCTGTCGGACTCGCTGTAGGAAACATCGGAGATTCAAGTCCATGGATATTTCTTGGGATCGCTGGCATGTTTCTGTACATCTCACTGGTAGATCTAGTAAGCAATTATAAATACATGTACTTTTAAACTGTAAATCAAATAAATAAATTGAAACGAAATGAATTCTAATATAAAATAGATATAAATCATTATAAATCGGATAATGAAGTTTAATAGGAATAAAATGCCTGATTTTGTGAAATGAACTGTAGTCTTAAACAGTAATATACTTCAAATTTTCCTCTATAAAGGTGGCTATATTTTAATTTATACATAAGACCTTTATCTTTCAGCTGCCAGAGATGAGTTTACTAGACTCGGAGAACAAAGATAAAAGACCGTTTCGACAGTTTTTCTTTCAGTTAGGAGGTGCTGGGATAGGAATTGGAATTATGTTTTTAATTGCTTTGTATGAACATCAACTGAATTCTTTGTTCAACGAATGATTTCATGTCCACACCTACACCTAGTCGGGGCGTATCTGCGGAGGTTGGATAATGAAAGCTTATATATAAAGTGTGCAATAATATATGTCAGATCTTAATTTTAAAGTAAGGTGCAAACAAGTGGTTGGCAAGAGATCATCCAAAGTAGACAAAATAGTGAAAATAAAAGCAGTTTCTTATCCTTGATACCTTGATGTACAACAAACATGGATTTAGGTGTGAAAAAAGACTTTTTGATTGATTTATCAAAAGCATTCACAACATGTATTTGTGAACAAACACAATTTATCACACAACAATATTAAATCATTTATCAGTTTTGTAGATACAAACTAGCCATAACTAGAATATAGAAACGGTTAGTCCATTTTCAGACTGTCATTATGGCTGGGACCATTACATGGTTATTGACCGTCTAATCTTAGTTGATGACAATAACAGACACTAAGTGCATTAATAGTCATTTCCGAATCATTATGAATATTCAAATTATGTTCAATAAAAGTATACAATCACTCCTTAAGCCTTTTTTATGATAGTTATGTATTATTATTTCCATTAATGAAGTGTTAAAAATGTCAAAAGTTTGACCCCCTCTCCCAAATTAAGTTCTTTATGTCAGGTAAGTCCAAAGCTTTTTCTGAAGAAAAATTACAAAATTTAACATAATTTAATTTTCGGTGGCCTTTTCTTCCTTTTTCTTTTTTAAAAAAAAAAAATATTATCTGTATAGCACAAAATGATTTATATCTCAATGAAACGATATTAAATACATTAGGATTAAATTAGGTAAATATAAATTGTTCAAGTTCTCTGACCAAAAGGTCCTTACATCTAAATTAGAATACGATCGAATCGACCTTTACATTAACCAACTAATCGATTCTCTGATAACTTTGAATTTTATATGATTCATTTTAGTTTACACAGAATTTGTTTAAAATATTTTCTCATAAATGTCAAAAGAACCATTAAGGGTTCCTTTTTTAGTTGAACGATGTCTAGAAAGTATTTTTCAATTCAGAAACTTGTAGGTTACCATACAAGTGAAAAACCATTTTGATTATTATATATATACATGTACATGTATACTTTTGTTTTATATAATAATTCAGTATTTCGGTACCTGACTGAAATGACACATCGCCTTTTAAAAACCGCAAACATATCACTTATAGTTTCATCGATCAAACATGAGAAATGTTTGACATTAGTTTTATAAATGAGACATTTGTTACAAAATTTGTTTCTGACGACATGAAGATAACGAACAATAATCAAACTCAATGTCCTATTAAACAATACATATTGAGAACAGAGCAAACACGAACTCTGAAAACATCAGATGTGGGATGGAAGAGTTATAATCCCCTGTTGACTCACTGTGAGTCTTTTGTCTAAACTAGTTAAGGCAAGTTATCCGTAGACAATTCAGTATGAAAATAATGATCTAACAGTTTGTTAAAAAAACCATCAATATTCAACCTAGCGATACATGTAGGTTGTATTTTGCAAACAAAGTCATTAATCGACCATAAAATGTTGATTTTAAACGAGATTGTTGATACCCTTGTATCCTCAGCTTTTTGTGAGTAACCTGCCTCGAATCAACTGAGAGACATAAATGCCTGTCTAGGTGAAAATGGGATATTGCTGCATAAATTAGAGAAGCTGACGATCGACAAATTGACGCCATCAAGTCTATCATGATGTTAAACTTGTTAGTTTGTCATAAATTTCTTTCTCTAGTTATACATCCATATATGATTAAGATATGTTCGAGTGATGTGTTTTATCTTAAGTTCAGTGGGATATACTGAATAAAACATATAAACGATAATGAACATTGTTAATTGATAATGTCGTCAGTATATCTAAATGTCGAATTGAAGGCCTCAGGAGAAAAGACTTTGTTTTTTAATATACATTTAAACAGGTCTGCTAATGAAGGGACACTATTAGTACTCATACGAAATCTAACGGATTTTGAAATACCTGTCTTTACACATAGACAAACTACATAGATATTGTTGATAAGGAAGTTAAGCATCTTTCTAATATCAACTTCAGAGTACCACCTGTGTGCAGAATCAGAATGAGTTTTAACACAGTAAGCGTAGAATATGAAAATTTCCTAGTTTTTGTTTTTAATTGATGAAGCAATAACAACTATACATCGCTATTAACAACGATTTGATCCTTTCAAATAGAAAACAAATCAAGGAATATATGGTGTCATTGCAATTAAAAGATAATGATTTAATGAAATTGTGTATTAGATTGATTATTTGTTGTTTAACGTCCCATTCGAGAATTTTTCAATCAGAAAGAGACGTCACCATATGTCGGTGGAAGGCTTCAAATTTAGACCTATACTCAACACTTAGGGCCATTGAGCAGTGAGGGTCCTTTATCGTGCCAACGTGTACTGTGACATGGGACCTCGGTTTTTAAGGTCTCATCCGAAAGACCCGTGATTTTCACTTCTAGTGCTGGGCGCTTGGTTAAGAAACGGTCACTTCCTATGTTTACGTCTTAACGCGGCGCGGCGAACGAGAATCGATCCCGGGCCTCCCGATCACAAAGCGAGCGACCTGCTACTAGGCTACCGTGGCCGGTTAAATTGTGTATTAGTGATGAAACTGAAATTGTTTACTTGTATTGTAAATGGATACAACTTGAAGAGGTCAGTTTTCAATATTTTTAAGATTCCCAACAATCAAAATGATTTTGAATTATTGTACCTGGATTCCAAAACTCCATAAAAATCCTTACAAACAAAGATACATAGCGGGTTCCAGTAAATGTTCTACCAAGCCTCTTTCTTTACTCCTCAATAAATATTTACAGCAGTTAAGGAGAAACTTCATGAGTGCTGTACAACAGTATATTCCAGAAGTGGTGTAAATCATATTTGGATACTTAACAATTCAAAGGAACTTTTAGAAAATTTGAAATCACAAAATTTCACCAAAATCAATAACATCACAACGTACGATTTTTCAACATTTTACACAACCATTCCTCACAATAAATTAAAGTCCAGGCTTTTTGAAATCACAGACAGCTGCTTTTTCAATAAAAATGGAACTCGTAAATATACTTACCTTGTTACTGCTCATTTGCAATTTTATTTGCTAAAAACATTCTTATTGCACACACAAATACTCTGAAGTTGATATTAAAAAGATGCTTGAGTTTCTGATTGACAATATCTATGTAGTTTTTGGAGATCAGGTCTACAAACAATCTGTTGGAATTTCCATGGTAACCAATGGTGCCAAGTTATAAGCAGACTATTTTTGTATTCATGTGAATCAGAATTTATTCAAAACATCTAGAAGCATGAGAAGAAGAAAACACTTGCTGTGGCGTTCAACTCGACATTTAGATATATCGACGACGTATCATATGTCGATTCGATATATCCCAGTGAACTTAATACAAAAATAAGGACATCACAGAGTCTGACATATCTGTTTCATATTTGGATATTTTACTAGAAAAAGACGTTAGGGATAACCTAATAACAAAACTTTGCGATAAACGTTATGACTTCACTTTTTCTATCGTTAACTTCCCTTACTTTTACAGCAATATGCCCTTATCACCTGCATATGGGGTTTATGTTTCTCAGTTGATTCGCAGGAGCATGCATTACGTATGAACAATTTCTAAAACAAGGCAAGCTATTGACAAACAAGTTGATGAAACAAGGAAATCAACAGTCTCGTTGGAAATCATCATTTTGCAAGTTCTATAGTCGATACAATGTTCTTGTCAGCAAATACAATCTATAATTAAGTCGAATGCTGACCGACTTTTTTTTTATACCAATTGTTATTCACACACTGAACTGTCTACGGATTTTTCCGTTTTCCCGATCATGACAAGGAGCACACGGCGCGTGTGACCAGTCGGCAGGGGATGCTCACTCCTCCATGGCTCCTGATCCCGCCTTCTTTGTTTTTAGGAGGTCCCTGTTTGCTCTGCTTCCGACTTATATTGTTTAAATGGACTATTAGCTTGAATACCGTCCGTTATCTCCATATTTCAGGCACATTTATCGTAAAAATCACAGTATGTCAAAGGATAAATGAATAACTATTGACTGAAGATTCTTTATTTCAATCAAACATTAGCATGATTAAGTTTAAAATTAAAAAAAAAAAGTCGTATGTGTACGAGTGCAATACAAATACTGGTACATTGAATTAAACTTGATATGTAGTTCATGATAACCATTAGTGTTTTATGAATGTCATATGTACTTTTGAGGCTATCAAGTTATACTTATTTGATATTTGCTATTTATAACTAAGAGATTTCGATAATTTGCTTGGTATGGAATGAAGTTACATTACCAATCGCGTCCGCGGTTTGCAAGAAAGTACATTTGCCATGGTAATCAAAAATCTCAAAAGTTCGAGTTTGAAAAGGGATAATTATGGCAGTAGATACTTAGATTAATAGATTAGCTGGATTGGTTATCTATTAAAGACGCATAGTAAATAGTGGTATATTAAGTTTACGTCTAGTTCGTGTTATTCCATCAAAAATAGTTTAAGTTCAAAATATTTCCATGATGAAGTAGGAATGAGATCGGAGATAGAAACACGGCTTTTGAACAAAGTGCATATCCTTCCCTCCATACTGTAGGCGTAAGCAGTGCAATGTCTAGTCTTAACACATCTGTCTGTACATTTAAAGATGGAGGAGGACACTTCATCAGTAATAACCGAATCTGGATTTCGCGGTCTCTCGTATAGTCCAATCAGATCAAACTCTGCTTGTCTGAAAACCACGGCTGTATCTACAATTAGAAAAATCGCAGTTTTGATTACTGACAATGAATCATACTCAAAGAGTTTATATTCATTTGAAGGTAATTGAGGCGTTAATCATAAAATATAGTTGCAACTTCAATTAATTAATTAATTAGTAATTTCATAGTTTATATTCATTGTCTTGATTGACTTTTGTAGATTAAATTACCGTTTACTTCACAGGTAAAATTGAAAGCTTCCCACTTATGATTCTGTTGACAGGAAATGGTCTCTTGATTCGACAGAGTGGACAGTCTGTAGAACTGGTTACAAGTGAACGTCGCAGAAAGTCCGTCTGGGCTCAGAACATAAGCTCCATTGGGTAACGAGGACGGAAATAAAGGACAATAATTATCTAAAACATTGAGAAAGGGAAGCTATCTTAGCTTACATGCATACGATGCACTTATTTGAATTTCCTTATCAAAATCATTGATCATTTAATAAAGCCCCTATTTCCTTTGTTATATTCGATATGAAATCATAATAATGGTATCTTAATGGTTAATTAAACAGGAAGACAAACATAAACATGGAGAAATGCTATCGTTCCACTGTGCTGTACTGAGGCAGGTCACTGTCTTGGAACCAGAACCGTCTGCCATGTGTAGACTATTATTACAAGACACGGTGACAAAGGTACCGAATGTTACGTTGTTGGTGCTCAAGTAATATCCGGTGCCTGGTTCTTCCAGTGAGCTGCAGTTCTTTACTTTAAAGAAGGAAGATCATCGTTGCAATGCAGTTGAACACGTAATTTTGACAATTCAAGCATAAGCTCATATTATTGCATTTTGCTCAAAAAATATTGAAATGAATTCCCTTTGTCTTTATATTTTGTTAGCTTTTGTCAGGCAAAGAAATAGTTTTATAATCAAATGGAGTGATTAAACTCGCACCAATGCATTTTCCTACGTCATCCTTCCAGTAGTAATCACCGCCGGATTCCTGGCACGTTACTGTCTTTAACGTCGCGTTATTGTTCAGAACATATCCTGCATTACATTCAAATTGTAGCTGAGATGTGACAGTGAAGAAGTCGACAGTGTGAGGATGATAAGAAGAGGCAAAAGAAGCTTGCTCCTCAATCTTCCCTTCACAATGTGTATCTGTAAGTTAGAAAACTCTATTGGCTGATGTTGGGTACAAATTTTGCGCATAAATCAAGAGCTTTGCAAAAAAAGAAATCATAGGCAAAATTAGTTTTACTTACCGTATGTTCTGTAAACTGGCAGAGCTGGACTTTTTGTAAAGGGAAAACACCAAGTCTCTTGTACTGTTCCGTAAACATATAGAGAATTTCCACAAAAACAATGTCTTGAAGAGTCTGGAAAAGAACACAAAAATCAATATGTCGTAATTGAATTTACGAAAAAAATACATTAAAGTAATTTGGAGAAATAGAAAGCGATTTATTCAGCACAAGTACTTGAAAAAAGATGCTTCAGACAACTAAATACCTTGATTTTCATAAAAGGAATAAAACTGATAATATGATGCCTTGCAAGTGGCTCTGCAGTCTTCATCTGAAGATACTAAAGACTGAACAACAAAGTCTCCTTCCACATTCAAAAAGCATCCCAAATATCTCGTGGAATCTACGAAAAAACCGATATATAACCGATATGCATATTATTTCAACTTCTCAATAAACGGCGCATTTCACACACAAATTTTCAACGACAAAATATATTCTTACGGTTAAACTGTGACAAAGGTTGTCCATATAAAGATACACGGAGAGAAACCCGCTGCTGAGAAGATTGCGGATACAGTCTTAATTCTCGTGTTATGATTGGCTGGGAGTAAAATTGTATAACGCGACTGTATCTGTCAACATTTCCAGATATCTGAAACAGACAGAATACATATCTAAAACGGAAAGAATACATATCTAAAACACTTTGCTGCCGATTTCTCTCTTTCTCACATCAAGTATGATAAAATACTAGTATCCATATATATATATATATATATATATATATATATATATATATATATATATATATATATATATATATATATATATATATATACATGTATACATATACCATTCAGTAGAAATTCTATTTATGTATTTTTAGAGGAACATATAATAAAATATTTATTTAAAATCAATCACGTTAATAGTAGATTGCTAGAGCACTCAAATACCATGCAACTTACATTTGTTGAGCCATTGATTGCAACGACTATATCTGCATTCTCTAAATTCTTGTACATTAATATATATGACCTCACCCAGGACTCTGTTAGCACATCACCTAAAATAAACTTACAGTATATATCATAATTTATCCAATATTTATACTCATTTACAGGTCAAACAGCAAAACAGTCGCTACAGTAACCCAATTAGAAAATTGATATTTTTTAAATCTGTTCTACCATTACAGTATCATGAGAAATACTTAAAGGGCTTTGATAAAGCTTGTCACCCACATCTTCTACGAATTAATATGCCATTTTAAAAATATATTTACAACATTAAACCAATATAGAATAAGACTAAAATCATAAAGTTTTAAAAAACAATTCTATGTATTTCATATTACTAGTATTTTACTCCCATTATTCCTGTGTTGCTTGTAAGTCAGCATTGTAAAACTAGATTTTAACATTGCATCAACACCATACCTTGTGTCTGAATAGCAGTAATGATGTAGTCTTCTGTAAATGTGAACTTAATGTATGGTTCAGAGTCGGAATCTTCAGGTCTCCAGCTATGATCTATGCTGTAGTTAGCATACGCATTGATTCTGAATGGAAAATTACTTCATCAATATTGTATTAAATAATTGAAATCTTATCTAATTCAACTGATATAACCCATATATTCAACAGTTTACTATGAAAAACCCCCACTCAATATAAATAAATTGAAAAAAAAAACAATTTAATTAAGAAAATAAAATTTAAAAAAAAGCTTTCCAGGTAATAAATTCGTCTCAGAGTATTATGAAAATAGTAATAAACATTAATAAAACCTGTATAAAACTTTTCCTGATAAATTCCATATCATCATAGTTATCAGTGAAACCTTACCGAAAACCTTCATCTGAAATACCAGATTCTGTAGAAGATGGAGCAATGGAATAATCCGTTATAACTGATAGTGACGGGTCTAAAATAATGCAAAGCAAACTCCGTTTATGAATTCATTTTCAGCTGCATCTATTTAAACATGGGGTATTCTAAATGCTGTATAAGGAATGCATATTTTTATACTGGTATTCATTGAATATTTCCTTTATTTCATCATAGGAAAGAAGCTGTTACGAGGTCTTACCTTGGTCAAAACAAGTAACAAAGTATTGTGTGTTGTTTCTTTGGATAAAATATTGGCCAGGGATATTTACACCATAAGAATAAAGTTCTTCACAAGACTGCACGGTTTCCTCTCTGTAAAAGTCTGCAAAAAGATAATAAAAATTGTATGAAAATGTTATAAGAATTTAAAGATTAAAAAATACATTTTCACACGTAATATAGGTTGTTGATTTATGATCTAGAGATCAGTAAAATCAGATGTCTTAATCCTTTTTACTAATATATTTTTTTCAAAAGTAAAAAAAAAAGTTAAATATGTACGAATGAAATATCCATAATCATTTTATTCAATAAGTTGCATAATAATCAAACCTAAATCAACTAGGACTCCACTTTCTTTCGAGTCATCGCCACACATTTGAGTTTCGTGACCAGAACAAGCCTTACATTCACCATATTTGTTCTCATAGGTCAAGTTAGTATAACATCGACATCCTTTTTCACGAATAACACCATAACTAGCACTTCTACCGAGGCAAAGTTGAGTACATATTGATGACGTCATCGGATATATATATTGGTGTTCAAAGAGTAATGATCCATTTAAACTGTTTATGTCAATACATCGAACACTTCCTGGAAAAAAACCAATACCAAAATATATATTCAATAAAAAACACATGCAAAAGAGCATACCTATTTGAAAATACAAACCCAAATATATATTTACCGTTAACTGGGGATTTACATATGCCAAAGTGTTTCCCCGAAACCTCTTCCCATGCAAATGAATCCAGATTTAGTGTCATATATCCCATAGAACCATTAAATGTTACATCAGGTTGTGATCTCACAAAAAACCCTTCACTTGATGTGTAATGATCGTTGTGCAATCTGAATAAATAAAGTTTTTACCAAGCATACAAACAGCTATTAAAAGTATTGGTTAATTCTAGCAAAAATGCATTGTTAATTGTGCAATTTTGCCTGTCTTAGAATAATGCTAACTTTAAGTCCTTTTGCAGTAAGTATTCAAACTTGCGCAAAATGCTGGATTACAGCTTTAACGTGATCGTGTCTAAATAATGTTTCAAACCCTCTCAAATTCTAAAAAAGTGAGAAAATCCATTAAAGAAAAAAAAACACACAATACCTATTGGACGTTCCAATAAAAAGATGAATGTCTGACTGAAAAATTGGAATTATTCGTTTTAGAATAGAGACGAGTTCATCATTCAATGCAGGAAGAAATGGAAGGCTGTCATTTTCAATGCATTGAGTGGCAAATGTCTCTCCGGTTGTTAACATTGTTCCAAATCTGTAACAATGTTCTCTATAACCCCAAAACATAGGAGCAGAACCACAGTCTGTTATGTCTGGAAAGTCAGAGAGAAATTATAGAAATACATGTAGATATCTTGTACATTTAGGTTTACAATAGCATAAACGTTTTATAAAGTAGATAAAATAAATCAGGTCAAAAAGAAACTATATAAATATATATATATATATGAGATATATAAAACCATTAAGAACTTGTCTTCCCTATAAATCGCATAATTACCAGACATAGACAAAGCTTAGGTAAAAACATATGATGACAGACATAAAAATGGAGCAAATCTATAAAGCAAGCGTACACAGAAAAATGATGGAAAACACAATTATCTGTACATTCAAAGTATATCTATTTAATTTCTTCTTTTTTAAAAATCTAATGTGAATTCACACAAGTACCACCACCATTAAAGATCTAATGTGAATTCATACATGTACCACCAACATTCAAAGTTGAAATAAAATATCACATGGCAAATTTACTTATTCAAGCAGGTAGTTAACTATATATCAAACAGCTCTTATCATTTAATTTTTCCATTTACATACATTAAAAGATGATGTTACCAGTAAATCCACAAGTCCGTTTAAAAGTCCCATTTTCATTCTGAATTGTGTATGTAGCGTTATAAAATACTCCGTGTGAATACAGATGATCACAAGAAAAGGCAGGGTATTCAATATCATATTCTAAAATGAAAATATGTTTAAAATTATTTATAGTATAAAATTAATGAAAAAAAAAAATGCAAAAATATTTTGTTAACTTAAAATCAGAATAAAAAATCCATTAATTAAAATGTATTTTGGGAATCTTAGACTATCAAATAATGAAGCTTCCGTGTAAATATAATTCAATGTTAAAACAGAAAATTTTACAAGAGGCCCAAGGTCCTTAACGGTCACCTGAGTATAATACAACAATTTAGAAGTTAAATACACTGACAGATGAAGCTTTGTTGCCCTAAAGCAAGAGAAGTAGGAAGATCAGGATCAACAAAATAATTAGTCTAGTATTCAGTATCAACTCATAACTTAAGTTCTAATCTGTCCCCCACTTAATATTATCACCATGCAGACTATTAACATACTATTAGTGCTTCTGTACTATTTTTAAACCCATATTAAGACCTCTAGCATTGACCTCTCTTATGGTCTTTGAAGAACTTTTGATAAGATAAGTTATTTTTGTCTCATTTTTATTTATCTATTACTTACAGGTCTGCCTGATTATTAAAACTAAGAAAGTACTTTTTGAATTATACGATAAACATTCTTGCATAATTATTTTATTCTATTAATCTTTCAAATACAATATTTACAGTGATTAATTATCAAAGGTGAATGGAAAAGGGGAATAACTTCTCTCAGTAGAATATAAATTAATAGAGCCCTGTCCAGGACCAGAATGCTTAGACAAATTGTCCAGATGTTCAAAAATCTGGTAGAAATACGCTTACTCATATCATTTAAACTTTTACTCAGTTTGCTTTCGATGTGCCCAGAAGCAGAGAAGAATTTCACAGGTACAATGCATTTTCACTACAGATTCAACAAAGCCTTACCCTAACACCAGAACCCAAGACCAAAGGTCAAGAAATTTACAAATTTGGACGAGTTACCCTCATCATCATAACTATGGACTTCAAAGAATTAACACTTTTCCACTATATTATCAAAAGTCCCCCCCCCCTTCCTCGTTATGCCAGAACCCCTGACCCTAGGACCACAAGATTTAAAAATTCTGTTCAAAGCTCCCATCTTCATCATAGCTAAGCAATTTATTTATCAGCTCAACACTAAGGAACAGACAGGATTAGTTAATGATTAATTAATAGAATTCATGCATTTTCACAATATAATCAATAGAGCCCCCCTCCCCCCCCCCCTCCTCAAGAACCCCCAAAACTGAGGCCATGTATTAAAAAAATTTGGAAGAGGCATCCTTGCCTATCATAATCATGCACTTAGTTTGTTTAAATAATCTCCAGTAGCAAAGAAGAAGATTTTCATAGAATCAATGCATTTTCACTATATAATCAATAGAGCCCCGCCCTAACACCGGAACCCCTGACCCTGGGGCCATGAAATACACAATTTTTAAAAAGGCATCCTTATGCATCATAACCATGCACTTAGTTTGTTTAAATAATCTCCAGTAGCAGAGAAGGAGATTTTCAAAGAATCAATGCATTTTCACTATATAATCAATAGAGCCCCACCCTAACACCAGAACCCCTGACCCTGGGGCCATGACATTCACAATTTTTGAAAAGGCATCCTTATGCATCATAACCATGCACTTAGTTTGTTTAAATAATACCCAGGAGCAGAGAAGAAGATTTTCAAAGAATTAATGCTTTTTCACTAGATAGTCGATAGAGCCCCGCCCTAACACCAGAACCCCTGACCCTGGGGCCATGACATTCACAATTTTGGAAGAGGCACTCTTGCTCATCATAACTATGTACTTAGTTACTTTACTTAATACCCAGGGGCAGAGAAGAAGATTTTCAAAGAATTAATGCTTTTTCACTATATAATCTATAGAGCCCCGCCCTAACACCAGAACCCCTGACCCTGGGGCCATGAATTTCACAATTTTGAAAGAGGCACTCTTGCTCATCATAATTATGTACTTAGTTACCTTATTTAATACCCAGGAGCAGAGAAGAAGATTTTCAAAGAAATAATGCACTTTCACTATATGATCTATATAGCCCCACCCTGGGGCCAGAACCCCTGACCCTGGAGCCATGAATTTCACAATTTTGGAAGAGGCACTCTTGCTCATCATAACTATGTACTTAGTTACTTTATTTAATACCCAGGAGCAGAGAAGAAGATTTTCAAAGAATTAATGCATTTTCACTATATAATCAATAGAGCCCCGCCCTTACACCAGAACCCCTGACCCTGGGGCCATGAATTTCACAATTTTGGAAGAGGTACTCTTGCTCATCATAACTATGTACTTAGTTACCTTATTTAATACCCAGGAGCAGAGAAGAAGATTTTCAAAGAAATAAAATAAATGCACTTTCACTATATGATCTATATAGCCCCACCCTGGGGCCAGAACCCCTGACCCTAGGGCCATGAATTTCACAATTTTGGTAGAGGGCTCAATGCTTATTACAATGATGCCAACAGTTTGACTGCTTGATGTCCAGGAGTAAAGAAGAAGATTTTTAAAGATTGCATTATTTTTGGTGGTTTTAGCCCCACCCCTCAGGCCCCAGGGGGGCAGGGACCATGAAATTCACAATTTTTGTTTCCCTTCACCCATAGATGCTATATGCCAAATTTGGTTGAAATTGGTTAAGCGGTTTCAGAGAAGAAGCTAAAAATGTTCAAATGTTAACGCACGACGCACGCCGACGGACGAGAACGGATAGCAATAGGTCACCTGAGTGACTCAGGTGACCTAACAAAAGGAATAACAGAATTTTTAATTGACGAACAATGGTTAAAAAAATTATGCTTTGAATCTAATAATGCTGATGAATATTTTTTTTCAGTTTGTAAAAGGGGGACAATGAAGTAAATCAAGTGATCAAGTAAACGCAAGATACTGATACCTAGATTATAAACATCAACTTTATCCGCATCTGGGCAGTGCTGGATATTGTTTCCCAAGCAAAAGGCATTACTGTTCCCCAAAAGTCTATTGCTGGCACCCAAAGAATCAGGGGTAAGCAAATCTACATCTGTCTGATTACCACACCAGCACGTGTTTCTGCCAACCATGGCAAAATTCTGATCTGCCCCAGAGCAGACTTGTTTGCACTGAGTTAAAGTCATAATGCCATATCCAAGAATTAAAGGTTCTAAGTTGGCAGGATGCTGAAACACTCCGATAAAATCTGAATAAAAAAGTCAAGGTCTCCTACTTATGTTTAAAATGACTTTTCATTAAAAAAATCTTTAAAGTAGAATGTATTAATTTATGCTTTAAAAGCTTTAAAATGTTTTTTTTTCACTTTTGCATAACCGTAAGACATATAAATTGTGAACTTTTAATTCTTCAAAACAATTTAATTGTTTCTCCTGATGGAACATTTTGTATTCACACAATGTAAAGAGATTAATAAACTGAAACACTTGTTCATTTGTCTCTTCTGATACCTTTTTCGGTTTCACACACAGCTGCTGAGGCCTGAGTTGTGTCGGACGAGGTACCGATGAAAGTGTTTAAATACTCCTGGTCCTGGAACAGCACTCTTTGTCGATATGAATCTCCGGAGAAATCAGTATCCGTCATGTATTTTGACATTGAACCAGATGTCCATGCCGGTGCTCCAAGCAAAATCGATTCAAAATATCCCAGCAACACCACGGGCTTAACTAGACGTTCTGAACCTACAATTTGCAAAAGGTAATATACATATTATTTTAAAATATCAAAACTAGTTCTTGCCCTGGGGTCATATGCCGAGATTTCTTTTCATATATTATATTAGTTTTGTTTATAATAAGGAAAATGCCATTTTATATCGACATACCCATGATAACCTTCGCAATGAAATGATGCTGTTGTTGGTTGTTGATTGTAGCCAGCCTACCTCCTTGTTGTGCACATGCAGACCGCCATTCTAGAATTGGTTGGTATCCATAGCCAGTTGTCGAGTTTAAAAGAACACTATAACAGGTTCCGTTTAATGCAAACCATCCCTCTTCACAATCAGTAGAACCATCTAATTTCATAATATTTGATTTTAACTTATTTGAGCAAAAATAAATTTAGCAATCATTTCATTTTGCTATCTAAGAATTTTTCTATACTTTTAAAAAGGAATTTTAATTACCATAGAATTTACAATGCTGAATGCCACTTTTTAGTACATAATGGCCGTGTATTCTTATTCCAGCATCAAACAGTGTTTTACAAGAGCTGTACAATGGATATTCATCTACAAAACAGTGTCAAATGAAATGATTATCTGTAAAAAAAAACAATTTTTAATTGTTTTATATCTTTTATGTTCAAATATATGCATAATGTTTTACAATTCATGATCAAAAACCAATTATTGGCGAACACTGCAAAAATAAACATTAAACATTATAATGATATCTAATGATAAAATGTAATATGTAAAAGTAATGAGATACCTATCTTATAGACGGACACACTAGATTGCAAATCACCACAAATTTGAATCTTGGAGTTGGCGCATCTAGCTGTACAGGATTTCATAGTATTCACCAGAAGTGTGTCATTACATCGACACACTGACGGAGATAGCAGAGCGTAAGTCATATTTTTGGCACGACAAATTTCTACACATAGCTCAATCGTCATGCTATCCGAAGACAGGGCTACAGGAGAACTATCGTCGCTCAAAAAACAGCCCACGTACTCTGTAATGGCAGTTACATTCCAAATAAGTACTCGTATATGTTTTATCATTTATTAATCTACTTCCATCACTTTCTTGTGGTAAGTCATCTAGGATATTATTTTGTTTAATGTGGTTCTTATTCTTCCCACAAGTATAAGTATTCTGGAGTTGCTGGTGAATTCTAATTAACAATAACTATGTTGTATTTGGAGACCAGGTCTACTATCTTTAAATTCAAAGGGTACTTATTTAATTGTGCCCATTTATCAATACAATTTGTTTTTTATATTCCTATGAAGAATTTATTTCAAAAAGCCAAAAAAAAGAAAAAAAAAGAAAAAAAAAAGAGAAGTATTTTGCATTTTAAACTGAAAATAACATTGAAAAAGACAGCAGCATTTCAGACTTAGCTTAGAGTAAGTTTTTCATATACTATACTCATAATTTTTATACATGTTATCATTTAAGAATCATTTTACAGAATATAAAAAAATAACGTTGCATTTCCCCATGTGCACTTTTCAAACACAATCACAAATAGATCGGCTGCTCCTGCGACCGATTGTTATTTATTGATATCACTGACACAGCAACCTATAAAAAATCACCTTTCTTCCTTTAGATACGTTGTCTATTGCTTTGTTACATTTAAACTTTTTAATTTTTGAAAGTAAGTAATCAAAATAAATGAATGAAATGAATGAATGGTTTTCAATACTTTGTTTCAATGATAAAGTGTCTGCTAGTTGTTTTCCGAAAGATTTTATCATGTGTACAAGCCATATAGTCTTTGAATTTCGAAAAGTTTCCATTAAATACAACACTTTACATCGAAATATATATATTTAATATGAAAGACTTTGAATGAAAGACACATGACACGCTTACTAGAAAAAGGTGACATTGGTTGAATGACCAACGTTCTGCGTCACATGAAGCCTGCTTTGAATTCATTCTGTTCTCTGAACTTCTTTTTATGATGAAGCATTTGCATACTAACGTTTATTATGTATATCGGAGTCGCAAATTTGCAGTTTATATCACTGTATATCCCTTTTAACATTAAGAGATGACGGGGTTTACAAAATTACAATTTTCAGAATAACTTTTCCTTAAAATGCACAGATATACAGATCTTGTAAAATTAAACGAACAAAAAAATCCACATATCTATCTAAATATTATATATATAGCCTCTTAATTAATTGATCTTACTTTCACAAATTTCAATTATTGAGCATATCCACTATACAACGTATTTATATTTCGACGAATATATTACACGGGGTGATAGCGAATTCAGAAGACTAAAGCTTGCCAATGAGCTGAAGCATTTTCTAAGTTAGAACAAGATGTGTTTGTGAAACACTGATGCCCCAGTATGGCAGCTTATGGCGAAAGTTAAAGTTTCTCAAATGCAAGTCAAACTCAAGGTCAAAAGATCAAAAATGTTGGTATCCAAAGAAAAGTCTTGTCTAGAGGAATATACCTGTGAAATTTGAAAGCCCTAGCACCAACTGTTCAAAAGTTATGGCGAAGGTTAAGTAAGTAAAACGTCAAGGTCAAGGTTAAATGGGACCCCAAGGGAAGGTCTTGTCACAAGTGATACACATGTTCGTGAAATATGAAAGCCCCAGAACCAAACGTTCACATGTTATGGCCAAGGTTAAAGTCTTTTAAAAGTAGGTCAAACTCCAAGGCCAAGCTCAATGCCAAAATTGTTGGTATCCAAAGGAAGGTCTTGTCACAAGGATTACATATGTGAAAAAGTTATGCCCAAGGTTAAAGTTTTTCAAAAGTAGGTCAAACTCCTAGGTCAAGGTCAAAGGGTCAAAGTGGTTGGTATCCAAAGGAAGTTCTTGTCACAAGGACTAGATACTTAAATATGAAAGCCCTAGCCCCGAACATTCAAAAGTTATGGCCAAGGTTTAAGTTTTTCAAAAGTAGGTCAAACTCCCAGGTCAAGGTCAAAGTGGTTGGTATCTAAAGGAAGGTCTTGTCACAAGGAATAAACATGTGAAGTTTGAAAGCCCAAACACCAACTGTTCAAAAGTTATGGCCAAGGTTATTAAAGTCTCATAAAATTTTGCAAAAGTGGGTCAAACTCCAAGGTCAAGGTCAAAAGATCAAATATGATGGTACCCAAAGTCAAAGCTCTAACCAATCAAAAGTTATGGACAAGGTTAAAGTTTTTGCAGACAAACAGACAGGCAGACGGATGGACAGGGCAAAAACTATATACCCCCGAATCTTCGATACGGGGGCAAAAAAGGCTTTCTGGGTATACTATGCTGAAACAATTGTTAATTAAAGCATCAAATTTTAGTCAGAAGAAGATGAGATATTTTGTTTTAAAGAAATCATTACCTGGAGACTTCTCACAAATGAAATTTCTTTTCATGTCACCGAAACGTTCTATTTGTCCTAATGCGTCAATATATGCGTATTCGTCTTGAGTTGTATTGTAAAAGGTAAGGTTTCCCAGTTGTCTCCCCATGGACGACCGGAAATAAGATGAATATTGACCTGTAGCCTTGAAACCTGAAAATAACACAAATTGAGAGATCTCGTATATGTAAAGTACACGTAATTTTGAAACGTAATTAACCTACACTGAACACCATCTTTATAATTGAAAATAAAAGATTAATGAAATACATTCCAAAAAGGCTACTAAAGTTTTATTTAATAATCCCCCCCCCCCAAAAAAAAAATCAATCCATCAGCTTTGAAATATTTTATCCAAAAATATTTTCCCCCAATTTCTTCAGTTTCATAAGTTGGAAAATGGAAAATGAGCAAATTTCTTCACTTATCATCTTAGACACGTTTAGTTCCCCCTCCTCTTCCCCTCCCCCCGAAAAAAATTCACACCTTTGTTTTTTTCTTCCAAAAATAGAGCTTATTGCTGAACACCATAGGAATTTTAGTGTTTGTGACGTTCTAACGTTTTCCAGAATCTTAAATACTACGTTACAAGGGATTTGACCGAGATCGTTTCTCTAGAGTCGGTCAACGGTAATACTCATCGCTGACGTTTAACGGCTTTTAAGGGGACCAAGTAACAGTCTAGCCGTCCTTTTATCGAATACGGTATTACCTACATAACTAAATGTCTTTTTATGCATTTTTAGTCCATAATGAATTTAAATTGGGTCATTTATTTTATTGATTTATTCCATAGCAATTTTTTACCTTTTTTTTCATATGTGCGTATAAAACGTAGTGCATGATTCATTGATAACAGGTTTTTGCATAGCATTGTAGCAATTTACTACAAAATACTGCTGAAAAATGGAGCCCAGTAAGTACTCTCTACGCATATATTTGGGAGAGATAGAAAAGAGGGAAGGGGAGACGTACATTTATGTTCAAATTTTATCGATTGAATTTCAATGCATTTTTAAGTTTTAATACATTTGTATTCCCATATACTATGATTAATACCGACCGGCAGAATGTAAAGCCTATATTTAAATAGACATGCACTCCTTGATTCTGAGAGGGGGGTCTGGCAGATTTTGAAAATAAATAGTCTGTCCTCGACCGGCAAGAAAATAAATAATCTGTCCTTGACTAGTGCTACTAACCCCCCCCCTCCCCCACGAAATAGATTTTCCCTTTCTTCTTTTGCTTGTCAAACTTTTTATCAGAGTAGAAGAAAAGAGGAAAATAAATAATTTCTCCTTGGATGGAATAATGATACGAAAATGAATAATCTAACGCGAAAATTTTTACCAGCCCCTCCTTCAAAATTAAATGGTCGTCCCCTGATTGGACTGAAAAGGCACGTTCGTATGCGTTTTCTCAAGATGTATTATAAAGATAATAAGGAACAATCGTCTCTACCCCTACTCTTCCCTTTTCTTTCACTTTTCCCGCTTTCCTCCTCAAATCTACGCATTATAAATAAATTTTAATAAATAGGAAGATTCAAAGAATTCAAAATTAAGAATTGGGCGGAGAAGGGGTTCCTTCTCTCATATTCGTCAATAACGTGGAAGAGCTGTAAAAAAAAGTTGCGGAAGGGGCGTTGGTGAAGCTGATCTCTGAACGAAAACCATGTCCAAGTGTTCCCTCTGAAGAAGAGGTTTTGAATGAAAATTTGCTAATTCCTACACTGTGCATCGCAAGGGAGCGTGCTATTTTTTTTCATTATTGCATTTTTTTTAAAATGATTAAAACATATACTGGTTTATACATCGAGTTTCGATGGTTGGTTTTTATTTGGGTGCTTAAGCACTTTGCTGTATACTTCTTATAGTAAGAGGAGGTTATCATATGGTTTGTACTCCCTCTCTCTCTCTCTCTCTCTCTCTCTCTCTCTCTCTCTCTCTACAAACCCTAACTACGATTCTAAATGGTCGCTTTTTACGCATTATTGGTTTTATTATGATTTATTTCGAAGTTTGTACTTCGACCTAAAGGGAGTAAAGTCAGACATCTGATGTAACAAGTGGATTGTGGTCTTGAAATTTTCGTGACAGTCTAATGTACAGTTCACAATTGCAAGAAGCGATTCCATTTTTATTTTTTGTAAACATGAAGATGTTTAGTTAATCAGGTAAATGTGGCCGGAGGGGGACTGGGGCCGGCCCTCTTATATTATGTGCCCGTTAACGTATTTGAAGGGTAAAAACGAAGCGGATTGAAATGAGAGAATACCCCCCCCCCGCCCCTTTACACTTTTTGACGCAAAATACTTGAACCTGAGCTGCATGTACATGTAACGCAACAAAGATGTAGAATGATATCAACTTTATTGGTTTTTATTCAAAATCTTATACATGAGAAAAATAAATCTCTTGCTGTGGCCTTCAACTCGTCATTTAGATATATCGACGAGGTGTTATCAAATTTAACAATAGTTATTCCCATTCATATGTTGACACGATATATCCCAGTGAGCTTGAAATAAAAGACGCCAAAGATTCTGACAAATCTGTTTCATGTTTGGATA